GGGTGTTGGGTAAGGGGGTTAAGATTACATGATCTGGTGAGCATTAAATTCTAAAACACACGATCAGTAAAAATGTGGTTTGGAAAATCAAGACACTTCCGCTTCGTCCACCAAAAATGCTCGAGTTTTATAGTAGCAAAAGGGGGGTGTATCATATTTACACCTTGAAATTATTACAAGCAATATTTGTGGATCATTACTTATTCTATGATTCATTTCAGTCGAATGACATTGGGATGAGAATGTGTATCACAATTGCATTACTAAACTAGAAAGTACAGTGCAGTGAGCTAACACTAATTATTTAAAATACTATGATCATACATACTTATTGATATTAAAATAATTACACACAAAATACTAAATAAATAAGGATAAAATAGAATCACTATTCTGATCCACCTATCAATTCATGAATTACTCAGCAGTGACATTCATCATTTCATTGGTTCTGTGCAATCTCATTGATTTGTGGCACACAAGGACCTATCATGCAAACCAATTCTACTTATTTTTATATTGAATTGTCAAGCTCTTAATAGAATCCTAATTAAAGAATGAAGTTACACTTGGATAAATCAGAAGAAATGCGAAACTTCCTAATCATATATCCCTTCGATCATAGAGTTAATTTTAACACATACTTACCTTCACATAAAGTTCGCAATTTACTTCATGCACAACAATAATGCCCTCCTCTTGGTTCTTTTTCACGGATAGACTACTGGGCCGTTCAATATCATCTTCTGCTTGCCAAGGCATCGACGTAAGAAAAAAAAAATATTCTAACTAAAGCAATCAAAATATCTGACGCAAACCTTCTACCCATACATCTTACAACTATGAGTAAGGAAGCAAGTCTTATTACGCCCATGGTAATGAGAATATACATTCAAACAAGAGCGAGAACCTTTACATTAAATGTGCTGCTACTGCTAATCATTGAAACGTGGAGGTATATGTAATGAGAATATACATTCAAACAAGAGTGAGAACCTTCACATTAAATATGCTGCTACCGCTAATCATTGAAACGTGGAGGTATATCTATGAACACAACTGGAAAATATGAGACATCTGTGAATACATAAGCTTGCCGATTTTTTACCGATGATTCCGGAAGAATTACAGAAGAAACTAAAGAAAGTTCTATATTCAAAAAGCTAAAAACCTAATAGACACGGGTGTCAAAAATAAAGGCTACGAACACAAGAGGTGACATCTATAATATCATATATATGAGAGTAAAGGGTTCTAATTCCATGCTAGTACCATTTACAAAGTAAAAATTCTAGATGATGAACTAAGACCAACCGATCAACTTTTCTGGCTATCCCCTCATTGGATAACATATCAACTTGGGCAATCATGTAATTTAAGACATTTGGTTGTCAGTACTCATCTTTATTGGGTTTTGTATATGATATTCCTATATAGTCTTGGTATTATCTGTGTGACGAGCAAAAATGAGATGAATCATAGTCTAATCAGTATTAATGCACATTAAATAAATCCTTGTTAAGATTGGTGAACCACTTCAATTTTTCGGGACAGTCTACAAGGAATCTCCATCCTAAACTCACAATTTGAGGTCATTCTATGAGGATTTTGTATTGTGGACATAGGCATTGAGCTCTTGAAACTAATTTTATAAGAAAATGCAAGAAAATGAAACTTGATTAAAAACGCAACAAGCACTCAAATCTTATAATACAGATGATCATAAAGTGGACATAAGCCGTGACAGATTAACCAGATAATTAACAGCTGACGATCATTTAATCATAAATATCACTCCGTACCTGCATCAGGTTCATTTGAAGTAACAGCATTGGCATTTCCAATTCCAGGAACTGAAACCTCGCTTCCTGAGACCATGAGTACAAAGCAGTATCCAAAATTAAGCAGGATGGTCACAGTTTTCAAACACATCGTAAATTATGGAGGGTAAAGAACCAAATTACAGAATTTAAGTACACTCTCAACTGAACTAACATAATTTATCCATAGAAAAAAACCAGTACGAAATTCTTTTATTGAATGGGAAAAAGTACTGTTAAATCACCCACATATGGGAACCCAGTATGCAGTGGAACTGATAATTGAATGGGAAAAAGTATTGTTAAATCACCCACATATGGGAACCCAGTATGCAGTGGAACTAATGATACAAAAGAGACTTAAGAAATCATGAATTAGAGCGAATTAATGATACAAAAAGAGACTTAAAATATTATGAATTAGAGCGACTATGGTAGCTACTCTCTAAATATTCTAATTGGGAACATATTCATACTTGAATAACTTGCAAACACATACATCAAATCTTGTAATGAATATATAATTTCACAATGCACCATATACGACTGCATGCAGTAGATACACGCTACATAGTGAATATTTATATAAACATTTCATCAATTATATTGAAATAATACCTCCAAATGTGAAAGGGTCATTTTTATTTAGGACAAGTGCAGGTTTCCATGGGGTTCCAGAGCTTGCTGTTGTGGCTGCAGGAAACATAGGTTTGTCCGAAAACAATGTCGGACTAAACAATGTACGACTGCTTCTGCCAATTCCAAATAGAGACTTAGTCCGAGCATCTTCAGATGGAATCTTGGCTATACCCGTTCGTTTCACGGCATTTGTTCCCAACCAATTAGTAGCATCACCAAAAACCTCCTACAATTGAAGACAAGTCAGTACACTAACAGTATCATTGTAATGTATCATTGAAAGGGATGCCAAAAAGAATAATGATTAAATTCATTAATCTGAACATGTGCTCCTAGAAATAGGTTGGATACAGAGAGGATGAGAGAGATAGATAGCGACAGAGAGAAATTTTACTCAGGCCACTACATGCGGTGGGCCTTCGCACTTCAACTATAAAGCATTAGACACCTCTCATATAATCAATCATTTGATAACACATGAATAACTGAAGGAGCCACTCATGGTCAAAAACTACTCAACAAATAGTGGCAGTGATTCTAAAGGAATCACATCAGATAAGACAATCCCATGAGATTATTATGCTGTCTAGCACTAGCAGTACTAATAATTAAATTTAATGTTTATTTAAAATTTCAACAACATAATTTACAAGAGCTTTTTGTGAAATATATATGTTTAGTATGAATAGCACGAAATGCTGGCCAAGAGTCACGATTAATGTCTGTCGCGTGCTCTTTTAAACCAAAACAAATTGGCCGAAGGATAATAATATTGCCAAGTACTTACATAAACAAAAAAGTTCACCAAATAATGCCAGGTCGACATCCTTGTAATCACAGAATATTCCCATATAATAATAACTAAAAACTATAGAAATGACCCTCCAGGATGACTTCATCACAGCCGAATGGTGCACTAGATTACTTAGAGATAGTGAGTAAAATTGCAGATAATGAGAAATTACCATGATGCATTCAGCATGGTTTATGTAATCCTGCACTCCATCCCAAAGCTCATCTGGATGGTTTTGTAATTGACTTTGTATCCAACTGATCGTGTAAGAGTTCACAACATTACCAAACAAATCTAAACCATGTCAGAAGGAAATAGAAGAAGTCCACTACACTACTACAGCACATCTCAGGTATCGATATAAATCACAGTACTCACAAACTTCAAATTTATGACACATAACATAGCAGAGAAAGCGAGCAAAAGAACATGAACTGATACAAATAAACCTCAGATGATTATACAGTATCTAACTTTCAAACTTGTGGTACAGCCAACAGCATTCCAGTTTAACATAAAGACACGATCTTAGGAACAGAAAACTTTTTGCCAACTTAAGCATGACAGTGTCAAATTCCCAGCACACAAAATTTCAATGTTCGCAACTCCACCCTGCTACAAACAATTTCATCCATCTAAGATAAGCTGGGGTCAACACAAAGTACAAGCATTACACAAAATTGATGGCCACAGTTAAGTAACTTGAACCAAAAGTTCTGCAGTCCACCACAGAACGAAGCACACATTCACTACAGCTAACTCAAGAAACTCAAATAACTAGCAAAATCAGTACTCCAAGCATTAATAATTTAAATAACAAAAAAAAAAAAAAACGAATGAGTGAGTGAGTGAAAACATAAAAGCAGTAAGAGACCTCGCAAACTGGATATTGAGAGCTCTCACATGCCAACTTGATGAATTAGCTCTCGGTGCATCCAGTGGCAGCTGTCGGATAGATGAATCTGCCTTGACGGCATCGAGGTGACACCCCATTACTGCTATCTTCCTCTGCGTCTGCACAGCTACATAACCTTCAACACACACATTGACAAAGAATAAAAATATCAATCGCACCCGCACAAACACACACACACACACTTACGAAGGTGTCAAATATGAAAACGGAGGTAGGGACTTAGATTTCCGAACGATTCCTGCTGCTTTTCTCTGTGTATTGGGAGGCGTATTAAATTTTTTTATGCCAAACTATGCAGAGACCCAAACCCTATCCAGTGCGTATCTCAAAAATAAGAATAAAAAGAAATTGAAGTCCTCTGTATTATAACTATTAAATTACCTATTAAGACTAACTGAAAATATAAAATTATATATCAATATCATTATAATTATACATTGAAAATTGTACATGTGAATAGTACTATTTCAAATATAACTAATAATAACGTGCTAAATTAAAACTCCTCTTTCATACAATCATATTTCTTTTTTTTTTAGAATTTAAGTATAAATTTATTAACTAGCAACGTGTAATTAACGGTTGTTGTGCTACTTAATAAACCAGTACGTACCACGTGCGATGCAAGGGACAAAAATGATAAATGAGTTATTTTCATAGGCTCTGTCCGCTTAAGTTAAAAAACAATAGGATTATCATCTATTTTCCACCTCTTTTGATCAACGTTGAACCACTTCAATTTTTCGGGACAGTCTACAAAGAATCTCCATCCTAAACTCACAATTTGAGGTCATTCTAGGAGTATTTTGTATGGTGGACATAGGCATTGAGCTCTTGAAATTAATTTCATAAGAAAATGCAAGCAAGTGATAACTTGATTAAAAACGCAACAAGCATTCAAACCTTATAATAGGGCTGACCATAAAAGTGGACATAAGCCGTGATAGATTAACCAGAGAATTAACAGCTTTATTGACGATCATTTAATCATAAAGACCTTATCACCCCTTACCTCCATCAGGTACATTTGAAGTAACAGCATTGGCATTTCCAATTCCTGGAACTGAAACCTCGCTTCCTGAGACCATGAGCACAAAACAGTATCAATAATTAAGCAAAACACATCGTCAATTATGGAGGGTAAAGAACCAAAGCGTAGAATTTAATTACACCCTCAACTGAACAAACATCATTTGTCGATAGAAAAAAAATCAGTACGGAATTTTTTTATTGAATGGGAAAAAGTACTGTTAAGTCACCAAAACCCAGTATGCAGTGGAAATAATGATACAAAAAGAGACTTAAGATATCATGAATTAGAGGGAACTAATTATACAAAAAGAGACTTAAGATATTATGAATTAGAGCGACTACGGTAGCTACTCTGTAAATATTCTATATGGGAACATATTGATACTTGAATAACTTGCAAACACATACATCAAATCTTGTAATGAATATTTAATTTCACAATGCACCATTTACGATTGCATGCAGTAGATACACGCTACATAGTGAATATATATATATTATAATATAAATATATATATATATATAATTTGTTATACATTCCATCAATTATATTGAAATAATACCTCCAAATGTGAAAGGGCCATTATTATTATAGAGAAATGCAGGTCTCCATGGGGTAGGAAACATAGGTTTGTCCAAAAACAATGTCGGACGAAACAATATATGACTGCTTTTGTCAATTAGAGGCTCAGTCCGAACATCTTCAGATGGAATCTTGGCTAGACCCATTCGTTTCGCAGCAATTTTTGTCAACCAATTGACAGCATCACCAAAACTCTCCTACAATTGAAGACAAGTCAGGAAGTTACCTTTGTACCTAAAAATTTAAGTCCTCAAAATTTGTGTCCTCACTCATTGTGATGTATCAGTGCAAGGGATGCCAAAAAGAATAATGATTAATTCATTAATCTGAACATGTGCTCCTAGATAGAGGTAAGATACCGAGAGAGATAGAGACAGAGACAGAGAGATATTTTACTCGGGCCACTACATGTGGTGGACCTTCGCACTTCCACTAGAAAGCATTAGACACCTCTCATATAATCACTCATTTGGTAACACGTGAATAACTGACGGAGCCACTCATGGTCAAAAACTACTCAACAAATAGTGGTAGTGATTCTAAAGGATTCATATCGGATAATAATCCCATGAGGATGGCAGGGTCAGTATTTTTATGGTGACTAGCAGTACTAATAATTAAATTTAATGTTTGTTTAAAATTTCAACAACATACTTTACAAGAGCATTTTGTGAAAAAGATATGTCTAGTATGAATAGCACCAAATGCTGGCCAAGAGGCACAATCAATGTCTGCCGCATGCTCTTTTACACCAAAACAAATTGGCCAAAGGATAATAAGATTGCCAAGTACTTACATAAACAAAAAAGTTCACCAAATAATGTCAGGTCGACATCCTTGTAATCACAAATTATTCCCATATAATAACTAAAACTATAGAAATGACCCCCCCAAGATGACTTCATCACAGCCGAATGGTGCACTAGATGACTTAGAAATACTGAGTAAAATTGCAGATACAGAGAAATTACCACGATGCTTTTAGCACGGTTTAAGTAATCCTGCATTCCATCCTCCCAACGCTCATCTGGATGGTTTTGTAATTGACTTTGTGTCCAACTGATCATGTAAGAGTGCACAACATTACCAAACAAATCTAAACCATGTCAGAACGAAATAGAAGAAGTCCACTACACTACTACAGCACATCTCAGGCATTGATATAAATCACAGTACTCACAAACTTCCAATCTATGACACAAAACATAGCAGAGAAAGCAAGCAAAAGAACATGAACTGATACAAATAAACCCTAGATGATTTTATAGTATCTAACTTTCAAACGTGTGGTACTGCCAACAGCATTCCAGTTAAACATAAAGACATGATCTTAGGAACAGAGAACTTTTTGCCAACATAAGCATGACAGTGTCAAATTACTGAGAACAACCCAGCACACAAAATTTCAACGTTTGCAACTCCACCCTGCTACAAACAATTTCATCCATCTAAGATAAGCTGGGGTCAACACAACGTACAAGCATTACACAAAACTGATGGCCACAGTTCAGTAATTTGAACCAAAAGTTCTGCAGTCCACCCCAGGACGAAGCACCCAATCACTACAGCTAACACAAGAAACTCAAATAACTAGCAAAATCAGTACTCCAAGCATTAATAATGTAAAAAAAAAAAAAAAAAACAACGAATGAGTGAGTGAAAAGATATAAGCAGTAAGAGACCTCGCAAACTGGATATTGAGATCTCTCACTTGCCAACTTTCAGCTCTCAGTGCATACAATGGCGGCTGCCGGATAGATCTTTTTGCCTTGTCGGCATCAAATTTAGACCCCGTTAGTGCTATCTTGCTCGGCGTCTGCACAGCTACATAACCTTCAACACACACATTGACAAAGAAAAAAAAATATCAACCGTACGCGCACACACACAAACACTCTTACGAAGGTGTCATTAGAATTGAAAACGGGGGTAGGGTCTTATATTGCCGAACGCTTCCTGCTGGTTTTCTCTGTGTATTGGGAGGCGCATAGTTTCTGGATTAAAATTTTGTAATGCCAAACTATGCAGAGACCCAAACCCTATCCAGTACGTATCTCAATTTATTATAACAATTAAATTACCTATTAAGATTAACTGAACATTAATAAAATTATATATCAAAATTTAAAAAATTATAAAATTAATACTATAATATCTGATTTGATCTTATTTGAAAACGTGTATATAGAAACAATTAATGCATATATTTAAAAAGTTTCCAAAAAACGATAAAAAAAAAAAGAATTGCATTAATTGCTCCCAAAATTTTTTATTACTATTTTTAGTAAATGGTTATTCTTATTATATAGGTAGATAGATTAGATAGATTAAACAATAATCCCACCAATTTTACCACTTGTTTGTCAAAATGTGGGCTTTCGGGGGCTAAATGCTTGGATATAATTTTTTTTTCGTTTGAATTTTTTGGTTTAATTTCGTTAATTTTCAAAAAGTAGTATAATTAATTGTTAGTGGGTATACTAAAATAATATTTTAAATAAAACAATTAAAGTTGATTTAATGTAAAAATAGAAGAGAAATGATTTGAAGTGATGGTTAGTTAAAATAATGTGAATGGATTAATAGTGAATTAAGGTTAATGTAGTGTGTAAGAATGATGACTGATATTATTTAATTATATTAATAATATTGATTATAGTGAAGTTGAGTTAAAAATGTTTGGATTTTTTTGAAAATATTTGTATCCAAGCATCCTCTAAGAGCCCGCCTCCTCAGCAAGTATTGACGGCTCTAAGGACGAACGGTTAAGAGAGGGTGCCTATCCCACAATACACTATTACGAAAGTTGGAGTAATTGTTCGGGTTTGACATACATGCACGAGAAAGAATGTTTACAACTAGCTAAGGTGCAGGTCAACCATCAACAAAACCCCATAAACTTAAACCCCATCTAAAGTAGATGATTTTCTTCTTACCCAAAAGGCGGTGTTAGAAATACAAGTCTGGCTTGCTAAATATTGTACTAAAAATTCAACATATACAATCACCATAAATATCTAAATCATAACAAGCATATTCTTACAGGCATTTCGAGCAGGGAGTGGTTTGAACCTCCACTCTTGAAGGACTGGATGGCCACCAATGGGGTGGTAGACCTCGGCTTGAATAGTTTGCACAGGGACACCATCTTCCTCGGCAGTCAAAGTCAAGAAGAACACAAAGGGCCTGGTCAGGACAAGGACAGCCCTCTCGACTTTCACAAGCTTATAACTGTGACCCTGTTGTAATTTGGATGTTTAGTAGACAATGGAGCAACCAAGCTTTGAACAAAATAAAAATAAAAATTGAAGAAAAAGAAGGCTAGAATGATGAAGTTCATGATTTGAGGTGATAACATTACAAAGAAAAATATATTTAAGAAACGCACAGTCTCGTCACAGATATTCTGAATTGCTAACTCGGCTGCTCCGACAACTCTAGCATAGAGGCGTTTATCAATATTGCTTGTATCCTGGCGCATCTCTTCCAATGGAAGTGGTTCGAATGGAGATTTAAAAAATGGAGGCGGGTAGCAATCCACGTCATAACCCTACAAAAATCAGAAGCAGCTCATCATCCATTTCAATCAAACAATAGAGCCCTACAAATAGTTTTGATGCTTGTTAACTAATAAAATACACTAGAATTAACACTCACATATAGAAATTAAATTACAAGCAGCAGAGTGACAAATGACAATCAAAACCAATACAGCAATAGTTCAAAATCCTCTTAGATCAACTCTCAAACTCTGCATCAGCTAAAGCTAATACACACACACACACACATCCATGTACAACATAGCAAACAAAGCATAAACCTGATTTCAGAAAACAAACAACAAAACAAAAACAAAAAAATAAGAGAAACCAACATAAAAAACTATAATTAAACAAAATTAACGAGTATATAAACCAGATGCAGCAACTTAGGGCGCAAATTAAGGATGAAAAAAACAGGACCAAGTAGGATAGCAAAACCCTAATTATAAACAATCGGATTTCAACAAAAAAAAATAAAAACCACCGGTCGAATCAGTACGGGGACAAAGAACGAGAAGAGGATTTAGGGATAGTACCCTGGATTCGCGGACTTGTTTGAGGAAACTCTTGACCAGCTCGATGGTATTGGGCTGAATCTCCTCGCCGTTCGGGTAGAAATAGGATTCAGGGACGTCATAATCGTTCTCTTCGAACCAAAACTTGTGCTTGTACTTTACAAACAATCCCCACCTGTCATCGTCGAGAGTCGGGTCCGTCACCATCGTCATTGTCACCCCGATGTGTTTGGCTCTCTACGTCTCACTTTTATAATGAAATTTAGACAATCCAACTCAAATATATACGATGTAGGGAAAGGCTAAGTCGGTTGAGAGCATGGTTATGAAATTGAACCAGTCATCGGACCGGTGTAGCTACTTGTTCAATGTTTCACTAATCAGACCAATAGTTGAACCGGTTTAAATTAATATATAATTTTTATTAATTTTATAAATGTATAATATATGTTTATATATATTTATAATTAATTTTAAAAATTTTACAGTGTATGACATTTATTTAAATAATTGTTATCATTTGACCCAGTAATTCGGAATTACTTATCCAAAGATCGCGTGTTATGATAATCTTCATTAACGGCAGACCCGAATCCCGCTTACCCCGGTTTATATTAAAAAACCGGGCTCCGACCGACGTGAACAAAAAACCGATTTACTCCATAAAGACCGAGGTGGTCGCCGCAAACCGAGATCACCATGAACCGAGGTCACCACCCCCGAAGCTGGTGACAAGGTGCCTACACGCCATTTTCACGAACCACGAAATCTTTCATCATTCAAGTGGGACCCGCTGACAATGCCGCCCACCAAAAAGTAGCTTTATGAAAAAGGCATCGTACAAATCCCGATATTTGTATCCAAAAAGTTACTATAAATAGCTAATTCATATACTTGTACGGGAGGTCCCTGAACCATTTTTTATCAGAAACACGTAACAGCTCACAGTAGCTTTTCACCTCGGTTCACCTCGGACCGAGGCCATCGTCTTTGTTTAATTGCGCAATCTTCTTTAACTAACCCTCATATATCGATTTAACATCTGTGTACATCCGTTGTTTAAATCCACATAACAACAATAATTACTCAATAATAGATACCGACGATTAGGGATGGCAATGGGCCCCCGAAACCCGAAATTCGATGGGTAAAAACCCCAATAGGAGCCGGGTATGGCTAAAATTTGGCCCCATGGATAGGTTAATGGGGGAAAAAGTCCCCCCATCGGGTCTAGCGGGGATGGGTCCGTTCTCCCTCTCCCCATACCCATTAACCCATGGGTATAATGTACCCGATATAATTTGGCCCAATATATGTTTTGACCCAGCCCAAAAGAACTCAGCAGGCAGCAACACTACTAAACCCTAGATATATAAGAGGCAATCTCATCCTCTTGCTCTCCCAGTCCCACGCCCCCGCCCACCACGCACACTCGCAGTCGCT